CCTCCCAGATTTACCATCGGACGTCATCGCTTGCATGAACCCGGTGATGCTGAACCCTTCTCCCCACAGGATATCATTGCCTAAAAATTCAAACCCATCACCACCACAGCAGGTACCCAAAAAGTCGACTTTTTGGGTACCTCCCAGGTTTACTATACGTGATCTCTTGCATGAACCCCATGCGTTCCTCACCGAAAGGTTGACAGTTTTTGGTGCAAATCTGGGAACCTACGTCAAGAGGACATGCAAGAAAATTTTCGGAAAAGCACCCTCCCGAATAACCAAAGCCTAGAGCATTCCTAGCATCTAGTCGAAAACGTAACAAAATCTAAGTGCAGCCAAGAGTATTCCTAGGAAAAATCACGGGCATTGGCCGGGAACTAGCAGAAGGTTACTAATTTTTGGGGTAAATCTGGGAAGCTAAAAAGAAGAGGAAGCACTAGAGAATTCTTGGAAAAGCATCCAGCCGAAAACATAACAAAATTTAGACAAAGCCTAGAGCATTCCTAGGAAAATGCTAGAAAAGCCTTTGAAAGTTCCATAGGTTAGCAAAAGGTTACCAATTTTTTGGAGAAATCTGGGAACCTAAAAACAAGAGGAAGCGCTAGAAAATTCTTGGAAAAGCCTCCAGCCGAAAACATAACAAAATCTAGACAAAGCCTAGAGCATTCCTAGGAAAATGCCAGAAAAGCCTTTGAAAATCTCACAAGCCAACAGAAAACGTGACAAAATCTACGAAAAAAACAAGGGCATTGGCCGGGACCATGCCGCGACCAGCCCGGGATTCGAGCCCAGGACCATTTTAGACCGTGCTTATTTTCCCGCGCGGGTCGAGAGGGTGCCCCAAGATGTAAATCAATTGGGGATGGCAGATTCTTGGACAATCCAGGTCGCTTTCCCAGAGAAATTCAACCGGATTTCGTCACTGTAACAAGGGTCCGGAGGGGTAGGGGAGGTAAGGTCTAAGGTCTAGGTCTAAGGCTAAGGACTAGGTCTAAGGCTAAGGACTAGGTCTGAGGCTAAGGATAAGGCCTAAGGCTAAGGCTTAAGGCTAAGGCTAACATCAACAGTCACGCCCTGACCCCACGGTGTGGGGTCGGCGGATTCAGACACACACATGTACACACACATGGACATACAGCCCCTCCCTGCCCCCCCGCTTTCCTTCTTGCGCTTTTCGTCGTTTGTTGGGCTTTCTCTCAGGCTTTTTAGGTTGCTCTTGAGGCTCGTTTCCCTACCCCAGTCAAGGGCTAAGTATTCACTTTTCTACACCTACCTTTCTTTCTTGCCCTCTTAGCGCTGCTCTTTCTGTCTTTCTTTTCTTTTGTTTCTAAGGCTTTTTAGGTGACTATTCAGGTCTTTCACATGCGCGCCGCGAAGCGGCACCGTGTGTGTGCCAAACCCTGTTTCCAAGGGTTCAATTTAATTTAAAGCAGGGGGATGAGGATCCCTTGGTGTGCCTCATCTAACAAAGACCGCACCAAGTGGGTGTGATATCAGTGCCCGGCCAGCACTGACGTACTTGCCTTTCAATTGTTTAACTCGACGTTTTTCAACAATACTGTTCGACGGACTCAGCACTTCTTTTTCAGTCAAGGTCTAAATTGCAGTAATCGTAGTTAAGTAAAGTTAAAGTGCACTGGCGAACAATGTTAAACAATACTTTTCCACGGACTCTGCCACCTTTCCGTTCTCTCACCTTCCTTCTCAGCTTGGGAACTGAGTGTAACTGAAAACCAATGTCAGAGTGTGTGACAGATGGCCAAACAGGCCACTGCACTGGGGCAATCATAAGTCGGCGTGAGCAAGCTTGGCTCTACGAGTGCAAGAGAGTTTTTGAGACACTCATGGGCAGCTGGACGGAAGAGAGTGCCATCCAGGCGCTTTCGGTTGCAACTCCAGGATTGAGACTGCAAGGTGATGAAACAAAGCATACTGATTGACATTGATCCTTGATTGATTGCTTAAATGAGCGTGTTGTGCGTTGAAAATCTTGCTGAATGTCCTCGCACGTCTATTTTGTGGGGTCGGACTGTTTGGATTTGGATGTGCAACGTGCCACCGGCTGGCTGTTCATAGAGGAAATGATTTTGCCAAGTACCTGAATGCAGGTCTTGCCAAACAGATCCAAACGGCCTGTTTGGAGGTACTGGGCGCACTGTGGGATGGAACAGCTACATGACTCATGACCACTATGCCCATTGATGGGTTTGACTAGAACCAGGGTGCTTGTTGTCAATCCAAGCAGAACCAGGGTGTTGGTTCAACTCTGTTCGCGGACAAAGTATTGCTTTTGAGTCCTTTTCCCGGCCCCTTTTCTTTTTCACTCTTTCCTCTCAATGTGATCTCTCAACTGGACACCTTCCGGCTGGCTCCAGCCCACATGGACCCGTCCATGCCGCCTCTATACTCTCAGTGTGACTCGTCACGTCGTCGGTCGACTCGTTTTCTTCGGAGTCACGGCACCGACGGTTCTGAGGCACTCCTCGGTGCCGTGGATCCATCCTCCGTACCATCGCGCCTCACAGCGCTGGAGCTCCTGTGCCAGACCAGCGCTCATAGCACGCAAGTGAACTGGAAAGAATTAGCGGCTGGGTGGGTGGATGAAAGACTGCCGTTTGGCTTCTGGTGATGAAAGAGAGCTGGGAAGGTCATTTTGGACGAAATGGCAGGCCGGAGTAAAAGCGAAGCCAGGATCAAAAGTTACTGCAAGCGATTTCCGAAGGAGGATCCAGGATTCTTACGACTGAGTGGACGTCCAGCACAATTATTACTTCACATGTTTATTGCCCCCGTTAACCCTCAATCCAAGAAGGTGTGGTGGCTAGGTCCCTTCAATTGACTTTAACTTGGTTTTGGCGGTGTTTCCTGAAGTGAGTCACAAGTGAGAGCATTTCAACATCTCAAGGGCTGCTATTCTCTTGACGTTCCTTGTGCTAAGGTGTGCCTTGGTGCAAAAATGGGAGACATGACACTCCAGACAAGCTTGCCTAAGGTGGAGGTATGCCTTCGATTGCTGGAAGACCCAGATCTTCGAGTGCCACTCACCGGGCAAGTTCAACACCACCTTTGAGCTTGCGGATGAGAGTCTGAAATCTGTTGCTAGGTTGGTCCACTAGCTCAGAGCTTCCTTTTCGGCAAGTCTCACAGTGAATGTAAGAAGAAGACAAATGTTCTCGAGGGTTGTTCTGCAGTGGCAGCGAAATAAATCAATACTAGTGGTTTCGACAGCTATTCATATCGTAATCTGGTTATTCAGGATCATGATCGAGTGAATCGAGGATGTTCATTTCTGTAAAAGCTCTTCCGAGGAAGTCAGCTGCCTTGGATGCCATGAGGTTTTGTGGCTCAGATCCTGACCGTGCAGCTGGGCAGGATCTGTTCGCGCTCCTTCTTGGTTCAGCACAGGGCGAGGCAAACTTGCAAAAAACGAGTGTTGTGAGGATCTCCGAGGAACGGCCAGTTTTCGGCAACTGTTCTATACTTGGCATTAAAGAAAAAGACCTATCCGGGTATCCTTTTTTGAGGAATCTGTTTTGTGTCTTGATCAAGTTGGACGGAGCAGCACGGGAGTTTGTCGGTGTTTGCGGCAAATTGCGCAGTGGCCCAAGGTGGATTTGGAGCGCAGAACGGTGCAATTCAAAAAAAGACACAAAAAATAAACTCATGTTGAATCCTCATGACCTCATGTGTGTCAAGGTTCCGATTGGCTCAAGATGGCTCAAGATAGTTGCTTTTCAGGCTGGGGTGGTTGAACATGCGGGGCAGGGGAGGTGTGTTGACGTGCCCCTTGATCCTTCAAAGAGCAAGCCTAACTGGCAACGCCTCAATTCATTCCCGAGTCATCCCAAGTCCACTTTCTGAAGAGATATGGACCGATCGAGATGAATGCATCAGTTCAGGATACATTGAGACTCACTTGGACGATGGGCATGTGACGTGCAACCCCAGCCTAGGGCCACAGCAACCGGACCCTAGCTTTCTCTTCACCTTTTGGAGCCAGATTCTTGGGTCGATCGAGAACACGAGATCACAGAACTTGGGATAACTGGTGCTTGTGGTCCCCCACAATTAATTCGCTTGAACAATATCTTGGAATTCCATTCCTTCTTCTCAAGTTTGTGCGGAGACTTCGATCATTCGTGAGCACCCTGCAACATCCTCCCTAAGGCAGACTTGCTTGGGCAAAAGGCTCTGGAGCATTTGCATCACTGGGACCACTTCGTGCGACGTGCCGCTCTGGCGCTCCTGCGCGAGGCGGTACAGACCGAAGAAACCATTGAAGCGCTGTTGACGCTTTTGGAGGACGAGTCCGTCCGGCACTGGTGTGGACCCGTCAGGGTCCGTCCGACTGGAAGGGCCGACAACCGGCCAGAGCGAAAAGCCACGGTAGACGGTATACAGTGTAAAAGCACAAACAGATGGTGTATTTGCGGTGTTTTCGATGTGTTCTGGTGGTTCTTTGCTTGGATGTCTGCTCCGAACAAAGTAGCACAGCCCTTCCACGGAGACCATTTTTCAGTGGATGGCCTAGGCACTTTCTGGGAAGGTAGTGGCACTGGCGGCCGTCTACAAAGTCATTAAAATTTGGGGTGAAGGTGAGGCCAGAGTGGAATCATCATGGTCAGGCATTGTAATAAGTCACCGTAGTGAGATGTTGTGAGATGTAGTTTTTGTATTTCTATTGAGGTCGACGTGAGGGGGTGCCAGAATTGGTGTTGTGCTTGGCTTAGGGCTGGCAATGCACTCAGACCAAAACGCATATTGCAGATTGTGTTACAACCGTTTTTCCCGAGAGCGCCTGCGAAGGGTTCTTCGTAAAAAAACATCTGCAGAAGAACGTCTCATCTACATCCTCACTTCTTCACCTCTGCACATCTACATTCACATCCTCATATCTACATCACATCTACATCTGCTCATCTTCACATCTACAATCACATCTGCACATCTACATCTCTGCTCATCTTCACATCCTCACATCTACATCTCTGCTCATCTTCATCTTCACACATCTACATCTCTGCTCATGTTCACATCTGCACATCTACATCTCTGCTCATCTTCACATCCTCACATCTACTGTACATCTCACATCTTCACCTCTCGTTCTTCTTTACTTTCTCTCTTAAGGCCGGGGGCGGTGCCGCCGGAGCACCACGAAACGCAACCCTCTGCGGAGATCGTGCGTGTCGAGGGCGCGAAATGCAGGCGAGAGTGCGGAGATCGTGCGTGTCGAGGGCGCGAAATGCAGGCGAGAGTGCGTTTTGGCCCGGTCCGGCGCCCTCGACACGCACAATCTCTGCAGAGGGCTGCGCCGGACCGGGCCAAAACCCACTCTCGCCTGCACTTCGCGCCCTCGACACGCACGATCTCCGCAGAGGGCTGCCGGCGCCAAATCCAAAACGCACTCTCGCCTGCCTTTCGCGCCCTCGGCGGAGCAATCTGTGGAGCTGGAAGCTGAGAACTGGCGACTTTGTAGTACAACTTGAGTACGCGGAGTATCTGGGGAGCTGGAAGATGAGAACTGGCGACTTTCTAGTACAACTTTAGTACGCGGAGTATCTGGGGAGCTGGAAGATGAGAACTGGCGACTTTGTAGTACAACTTTAGTACGCAGAGCAACCTGTGGAGCTGGAACCTGAGAACTGACGACTTTGTAGTACAACTCGAGTACGCAGAGTATTTGGGGAGCTGGAAGATGAGAACTGGCGACTTTGTAGTACAACTTTAGTGCGCGGAGTATCTGGGTAGCTGGAAGCTGAGAACTGGCGACTTGGTAGTGCAACTTTAATACGCGGAGTATCTGGGGAGCTGGAAGATGAGAACTAGCGACTTTGTAGTACAACTTTAGTACGCGGAGCATCTGTGGAGCTGGAAGATGAGAACTGGGGACTTTGTACTACAACTTTAGTACGCGGAGCAATCTGTGGAGCTGGAAGCTGAGAAGTGGCGACTTTGTAGTACAACTTTAGTGCGCGGAGTATCTGGGGATCTGGAAGATGAGAACTGGCGAAGTTGTAGTACAACTTTAGTGCGCGGAGTATCTGGGGAGCTTGAAGATGAGAACTGGCGACTTTGTAAGTACAACTTTAGTACGCGGAGCAATCTGTGGAGCTGGAAGCTGAGAACTGGCGACGTTGTAGTACAACTTTAATACGCGGAGTACCTGCGGAGCTGGAAGATGAGAACTGGCGACTTTGTAGTACAACTTTAGTACGCGGAGTATCTGGGGAGCTGGAAGATGAGAACTGGTGACTTTGCACTACAACTTTAGTACGCGGAGCAAGCTGTGGAGCTGGAAGCTGAGAACTGGCGACTTTGTAGTACAACTTTAGTACGCGGATGAGTCACCTCTCGCGGCTGCTCTGGCACCCCTGCAGCTGAGTCATGTCTCCCGACCACCCGGCTCTCTTGAGAGGTTGGCAAGTTTTGGCTACTTTGCTTACTCATAAGTGGCTGCCACAAAAGAGTCATCAAGACGTGTACTTCACCTTCATGACAAACGATGTTCGCTTGGAATACATGAGTCGCTTGTCATGATCGTGACGTCGTTTACTCTCAGGTCGCCCTTTTCGTGGAAACCACAGTGTGACATGTACGTTCTTCAGTTCTATTTGAACCTCTTCAGCGTTGTACTTGCACAACTAAGGTTGACGTTGCGCTGCCGTTGCACCGACGCATCTACGTCTACACCCCCTCACCTCTCTACATTTACATCTTCACACGCTCACATCTGCAGATCTACCTCTCCACCTCACCACACCCACACATCTGCACATCTATATCACATCTGTACATCCACACTGTCGCTCCTTCACATCTGTCCTGTCTTTCTTTCTTTCTACATATCTTTTCTCTCGTCTCTGTGCATTTACATCTTCGCACGCTCACATCCACAGATCTACCTCTCCACCTCCATACATCTACAGATCTATATCGCACCTGCACATCCACACTGTCACTCCTTCACGTCCACCCTCTCTTTCTCTCTTTCTATACATCTTTTCGACAGTGCTGGACAATTACATGTCTCGCTCTCGGGCCAACCGTCGTCTAGTTTCATTAAGTGGTTCTGATGTGCACTCACAAAACCGATAGGAATTCACTACACTACACTCCTTTCGGGAGAACAGCCCATCCCAGATGTGAGATCACATGACGTTTATTGTGATGGAGAGATTCCTACTACCAAACGGTGGTTTATTCACTTGGAAATGCATCTCCGATATACCTAGTGCTTTCGTTTCTTCATGTTGAAAGAAACGAAAGCAGTGGAGTCATGCTACAAGAGAACTGTGGGGTTGTCGGCGCAGGGTGCGGAATCTGGTCCAGCACGTTTTCCAAGCAGCACTTGTTCTCAAGCAGCAGGTGCATGAAGCATGGGTAGGTTCCAAAAGGATGACCACGTTCTATGGTTTGTTTGAAGTACTTTGCAGTTCAGCTTGTCCCTGGTGTGGTGTAGTCATCCCACACTGGTGTGTTCCATGGCCCGGTCCCCTGGTTTTTGCTCCATTGGCCGCGAGGACCCCTCCTCCGAGGTGGTTTGCCGGGCTATAGTGGCCATCGCCGAGCTGGATCGTGGACCCAAGGTGGGGTGGGGAAGTCAGGTTTGGAGATGCTATCGCGGTTTGAGCTCCCAGTTCTGGTCACAGAATTTGGGAAGCTGCTTCTCCATCACAACTCGGTGAGCCTGAGAACAACTCCTGGAGGACGAGACTCCAGAGGCAGCCGAAGAGCATGAGACGAAGCTTTGTGGAGCCTTGGCGCCTTTGCTGGAGCATGGTGATGTGGCCTGGCAGTGATGGCCCTGGCCTGGCGGCTGGAAACTCCGGGGGGGAACTCCCCCCCAGAGCTGATAGGCCATTCTGATGGCCTTTTGCACCTTACATACACTTGTGTAAGGCCTCGGCTGCCCCCATGCACGGAACACAGGTTCCCCCACTACACAGAACTTGAGGCAGTTTGGAAACGTGGGGGAGGTTTGTGATCTGAGGTGAGTCGCAGAGGGCAACAAAAACAAAGTAAGGAGTCTAACCAATGAAATCGTTGTAATGTTTACTAGAAAACCAACCAATGATAGATGAATAAAGAATCCTTACTTAGCTATCTCTGGAGCTACTCTGGCAATACTACAAATACCCCTCCCCCAAAAAATACATTATTCTAGGGGCGTTTATTCATCAGAGGTCAACATCACTGAAAGGCTTCTGTCGAACCAGTTAGCATGAGACAGAGAACAGCGGCCTTCAGTAGCTGTTAACGTAACGATGCCACGCTTGCAAAGTCATAATGATCATATTTATAATCACCCAAGAAATTGTACAAGAACATGTAGTCCCCATGCAGTGGAAATGTGTTCAAGATCGGCAAAAGCAAGATTGTTTGTTAAGTTCCTTTGGGGCTCGCTACGTGCTGGAATATACAAGTGTATATATATATATTACATATGCGCTTGTCAGACACCCCCAGCATGTTGCTCCTTGTTTTTGTCGCAGTTGTAGATGAAATGATCACTGCTCCCGAGCCAATAGGTCAATGTGCGGCAAGAAGCAGCTCCTTGGCAGGGATGATTGGAACAAGCGCGGCCAAGCGACAAACGATCCATGCATGCCAGGTCATCAAGAAAAGTATTTTGGACGTGTGCTGTGTACCAAGAATCCTGTGGATGGGACGTAGGATCTCAACAGAACTCACCACGGAATCACCAGGAGAATTTACATGTTTCTACAGAAATCAAGAGGGATTAAAATATGGAATTGAAAGTGGCTTCAGGTAGAAAGACGTTTGAGGCCTCATTGCCTCATGCGGTATAATTTCTCAATCGGGTTGAAATGTGTTGGAGAATTTGCCTAATCCCGACTTCGCCGAAGGGTGACATCGACCTAAATCGTGCTGGCGGATGGGGGAGCAGTTGATAAGTTTGATAAGAATTCCAATTCTAATTAAACTTAATTCTAATTTGATTTTAATTCTATGTGTGTCTTGTTTCTAATAGCTTCTTGCTCCTAGTAGCGATGCCAGGAGCCCCCACTAATTAGCGTCCTTGCTCCGACCCATTTTGAATAGAGGCAATTCTTTCGGTGGCTCCACTGAGCCCTCCATTCCGACTGGCAGAGAATTCATTGGATGGCCAACTGATCTATTGCATAAGAGTGCATCAAAAGATAAGGGCTGGAACACTTGTTCCCACTGTGTGCCTTTGCACATCCATATGCCATATGGTTCCTTCTCCTTTGTTTCTTTGACAAAGCTGGAGGCTCTTGCTTTGGCACAAATGCCTGGCCCACGGAAGCTTGCGAGGAATATGTTGCTACAACGGCCTGTGTGGCCGGAGCTGACAAAGGAGGTCATTGAAGCCAAACAAAGTGCTTTAAATTCTCTCGAAACCTTTTAAAATATACAAAACCAAATATGTATATTCAATCAATAATATATAAAATTAAATATATATTAAAACGATATAAATATAAATATATATATTTGATATTGAATTTACAATATATGCTTTAAATTATGATATTATTTAATATTTACTAATTGAATATAACTAATTTGAATAGTATAAATAATATATATTTAAAGGAAATTGAATATATATTTGAAGGATATAAATATAAATAATTATATAAAAAAATAGAATAATAAATAAAAAAAATTGCATTTGATATACGAACAACGTCATAAACCTCTATGAAAGAATTTAGGTAGGACTTAAAATTATGAATCTGTACGAAAGGAAAATTGCAGTTGGGGAAAGTTTGGCGAAAGGTTTGGAGAAAGGCTCTGATTTTTTGATGAATGGATTTTGTTGCGAAAGGGTTGGCGAGGAGGTTTTTAGTACAAAGCATGTTATCCAAAGATTCATGATAACCAGGCGAAAGGTTCGCGAAGATGTGGCGAAAGTAGTGGTTGTAGATTCTCCTTTGTTGATACATGTTGATATTTTTCTTAGATGTAAGTAGCAGAAACTCGGCGAAAGGGTTAGCTAAAGAGGTTGTCGGGTGAAGTGGGCCGGCGAAAGCAAAACATGCAGCTGCGAAAGCGTTGCGAAGGGATTAGCGAAAGGTTGTTATAATCTTAATAAAAGTTCCGGATGGTTTTTGACACCGCTTATACATATAATATATTGTAAATATATTAATAATATTTATAATAAGGATTTTATTTTGGTGTCGTAGAATTGTTCTTTAATAAATTGTTATTGATTTATTGAAGCGTTAATGATGCGTTTTAGATTTTATTTTTTAAATATTTAATGAGGATAAATATTTTATATATTTAATTTAATATTTTGAAATTATTATTTAAAGATAGATATAGTTAAATATTTAGAATTTAATTTAATATATATTTTATGCAAAACAGGAATTGGATTCTATTGAACAATACTATACTAATTTGTTTGTTGATTCGATATTTGATGTTCCGGAATTCGAACCCCTAATTAAATTTCTTTTCGACCGCTAGGATGTGCTTATTGAGCTTTTGCACCTGCCAAGTACTAAGGCCCTGGCACCAGACGGGTTGTTAGCTTTAATCTGGAAGAATTTCGCGCATCATCTTGATGATCCATTAATGCATTAGATGCAGCCAGGTTTGGCTTAGATATCCCATCCACCTTCCGGATTATTGGACATCAGGATGGATTCATCTCCTCACTGAACCCAATAAATCCCCAAGAGAATCATAGGCACTCAAACCGATTTATTTCCAACACCCGGTCAACAAGATATTTGCCGGAACCCAGTCAACAAGATATTTGCCGGAATCCAATGCAGGCAGATTGTTTAATAGATGTTCGACCGACTAAGATGTCTTCCGCTATATGCGTATCTGCCTCACAAAGGAACACGAGGAACACGTGAATGTCTTCTCATAGTAGCAGAACATTGTAGAAGTGTATGTATGATGTGCAAGGAAGTCAAGATTGGTAATCAGCCTAAGTTGCTTGGAGGCCTCCAGATTTCATTAAACATGGAAAAGGCATTTGACACGGTCAGTCGAACCTTAGTATTTCGAGCCTTGAAGTTGTACCATTTGGACTCTGATCTCTTTTAATTTGTGTATTCGTGATTCACCCCTCATAAGTATTGTCTTCCCTTCAAGCAATTAATCGGACAAATCCAGGCACATCGGGGAATCAAATAGGGGGCCAAAGATGCCCCTTTACTGTGGACACTGACCATGAGCCTAATGCTTGTTGATCAAATACTCCCACACATGGCTCCACGAGCACATGGTTGTCTACGCAGACGATATCCGGTGGATAATTCGATCGACAGCCCAAGCCCTTGAAGGTCTCACTGACCTTCAAAACGTGTTGATGACCCTTCAGGCTTTCGGGTTTAATGTCAATCTTCATAAGTCAGTAGCCATGCTTCGACTCCAAGGGAAAGAGACCCCCACCTTCCTTCGACACTGGGTCAGTCGACTAGCCACTGGCCTGGTGCTGACTCTGCCAGAACGTCGTTGGCAGCTGCCGCTTGGGTCGAAAACAACGTATCTTGGTGGCATCATAGGATACAATGGGATGTTGATACCACTACCCGTAGGATCACGGCCGCCAAATGGTGCTTCCGCAATGTCCACCCAATTCGAACCAGACTCAAGTTGTACAAGCAATGTGTCCTAGCCACTGTTCAATATGGCATTCATGAAATGGGCTTGACTCAAAAGGGATTTCGCCAACTCATCAGCATAATCAACACTCATCACCGGACGATTGCACACTCACCTGTGTGTCTCACCCATGAGTCCACTACACATTTCTTTGAATGCATTCGTGAACCACCTCCATGGACAACCATCCTCACACAACGCCGGCGGATTCAAGAGGCCCTGTCGACCAGACGGGAACACCTCCGCCTTGAAGCCATGGACTGCGAGATGCCGGATGTGTGTGTGTTTGTCCCAGATCTCTGGATTAAACCCTTGGTCACCCCACCAGATCACCAATCCACCATGGGTAGTATTCAGGCAGTGGCCTGTCCGGAATGCCACCGAACGTTCTAGCAGGCAGGAACACTGAAACGACACATGAGACAAATTCATCAAGGTCTGTGTGAACCCGACGACATTTTTCAACCTTTACGGGATGCCTGGCAAGGCCGTTCGATTTGCACACATTGTTTACATGTCTTTATTGATTTCTACAGACTTCGTGATCATATTGTTGATGGACAAAATCCTGCACCACCTCACCACTTTACCCTAGAAGGGTCGTATAGCAACCCCCGCCCCCTCATTCAATGTTGGCGCGACCCCTCTGAGGAGGTGGTGCAGGATTTTGGACCCTCAACTTGTTTTGTTTTCTCACTGTGGTGGTCCCAATGTTAACAAGGTAGAACGAGGGCAGCAAGAAAAGTGTGCGCAAAGTGGTGCAGGATTTTGTCCATTAATAGTCTCGTTTCATTACTACAATCTCGTTTCATGCTGCAATCTCGTTTCAGTAATATTGCTCTACCAAGCTTGTTGTGTTAGTTTTTTGCGCCTACTTGCTGGCTAATGCCACTTTCTTTGCTGCTCCGTTTGTTGTTTGCTATCCTTACTTGTTGTCACGTAACAAGGGATGTTGCGAGGGAAGTACACAGTGCTCGGACAGTGCTCTGATAGTGCTCAAAACAGTGCTCGGAAGTCAAAAACATGGAAAATACCAGCGATTCGGGCAGTAGCAATGCAAAACGATAGAAATTTGGAATTCTAGGCTTTTTATTGATTCATTTACCACTCCTTTGGCCATACCCACAGTATTTACAGGGTTTTGGTGCGCGGGTACTGTCTGGAGCACTGTTGGAGCATTGTCCGGGCACTGTGGAGCAGTGTGTCGCCATGTAGTCCCCGGTTGCGTTGTGTGCGCAGGAGTCAAAGCCATGGTCGTTCCAGGTCACGATGGCGCTCTACTCTGTTTGCTGTCCCCCACCCCTTGTGCCCTTCTTTGGCTCTTGTTACTGACGCTGCAACTCTTCTTCCATACATGGCACAACCCTCTGTCTCCGGCTTCACAAGTTTGTTCTTCCTGTGTCATTGGCTTCACAAGGTCTTTAAAATGCTGTGTTGGTCCACCGCTGTTTGCTTGGCGCAACCCTGTGTCGGGTACTGTATTAATAAGCCCACATGCCCTCGCTTTGATCCCGCTCAGGAGTCGATCGTACCGATCATCAACAGACCAGATCTCAAAATGCATTTACGCCACAAGTCTGTCCCAGGTCTTTTGTTGAACCAGGCTTTGATCAATGAGATTGCCACTCACTGCACTTTTTGTCACAGCGGATTGCAGCTCGCTCGATTAGAAAGCACTTCACGGAATGCCATCCGGACCTGGTTCCACCAGCAGAGCACTTTCGGGAGCATGTTCATGTTTTTTTTGCACGAGTCGAGGCGCTATAGTGCAGGTTCGGGAGCATGTTCATGGCATGGCCAACATCGGAGGCGGCCGAGGTAGATGCAATTTTTGTGACAGTGAATGCCGTGACACCAGAACACATGAATGTGGTATCCTCTTTCAGATCTCGATCATAATGGGACACACCTTTCAACCTGAACACTTCCTGTCATGCAGAAAGCCTCAACTTGTTCGTGCCGCCAAGATTCCGAAATTTGATACAGTTCCGGTTATGCTGAACAAACCTTGCCAGCCAATCGAGGCCCCTGAAATCCTTTCCATGCCCACTGTGTTTGGAAACAGTCGGTCGTAAAGCCTTGGCCGGCCATTTGTCCAAAGAGCATCAGGTTATGAAACCACCTTTCTTTGTCTTTCGACCATCCGAGACATGACCCCGGGACGTTTGGAATGTGCATATTGCCACACCACATACACGTCTGAAGCTGCCCTTCGTTTGCACTACCAGAGAGCCAGCTGTCCCATCTTGTTGATTGGGGTCAAGGATCAACACTTTGGTCCAACGGTGCCGACGCCTGCTTCGACTGAGGCCCAAGAGCCTTCGGACCCAGCGCAATTGAGTTCGACCTGCTGTCCAACCTCAGGGAGGCCTGTCCTGGTCGTGCATGCCAGATGACACACCTGAATACACCAGTGATCTGTCTTGGCCATTGTTGACCACAGCATCCATGACCTATGTCTCTGTCCTGTGTTGCCACGTTCCATTTTGGCCAGAGTTTCGACTGAGATGGTTTCATGCATTTGTCCATTGGATGGCTCACTTAACCGACCTTCCGCAGCTTGACCTTGAGGTCTCACTGCATCACCGGCTTCTGGAATTTTGCACGCTGGTGATTCCATGCCATTGGGCTTGGGACTCAGAAGATCAGGAACTCCTGCAATACAGTGCCATTGCTTTCCATTCGACAGCCTGGATTCAGCACATTCATTTTCAAAGCCTGTTGTTTGAACTAGAACACGTGCTGGCCCAAGACTGGTTCCATCGGTGTCTTGCACTTGGCCTCCAAGATGGAACGTATGAACGGAGACGATCAATCTTTTGCAGAGCTGATGGATCTTTTGTGGCAATCACTTTGCAAAACGTCCCAGAACGGAGGAGGAGGACAGGTCATTAGATCGCCGACCGGCACGCAAGGGACAGAGGAAGCCTTCGCGCTCATCGGCTTCGGACTTGGGAGAAGATGCCAGCTTGATCTCCATGCTGGCAAAGTTGACACTTCGTCAGGAGGATCAGCTGAACCAGATCCATTTCGACAAGAGCTTCATCTTCTTTGTCCAAGCAGGAAAAGGCAGCCTTCTGCCACTGATGTTGAAGACATCAAAGGACTGGCATGGGCAGCGGGAGTCGGGGCAGGTCACCGCCTCGTTGAGGCAACATATGTTCCGCTCTGTGTTCGAGGAGTTGGCCTACCGAGCATCGAAACTGCCCTTCGGATCAAACGATCACGAATTGATCAAGGCCCTTCAGAGCAAGCAAGTATTGACAGCAACCAACTCCTGGAATTACCTTCAATGGGACTCCAAAGAGAAGACTCTGAAGCCGGCAGCCCGAGATCCCCTCCCCTCGGAGGAAGCCGCAGCATTGATCCAGAAGATTCATTCTTTGGCAGCTCAAGCGGACCCGATCCACTGGTTCTCAGCTCTGAAACCAGTGCCTCAGGATTCAACGGTGACGGACTCAATAGTTGAGGGGCCAGGCTTAAGATCTCTACGATGCCCTACAACGATTGACCGGCAGCGGGCTTACGCAGCTGATCTTTGTTCGAATCCGACCATCGACCTTGCAGAGGTCACCATTGGCTGAGGCCATTGCAGCTCGCTTGATGAAATGAGGAAAGCCATTTTGGCATTTTCCTTGGGGAACGGCTCCAATATTTGCTACATGAATGCAGCACTGTTGGCTGAGCTTTGGGCCTGCTGCATGAATGACGCCTTTGTCTGGCATGAGGTTGGAGCCTGGAAAGATCCTTTGATTCGTTTGCTTTCATGTAGCAACCAATATTAGGTATTGATTGATACCAGTTGTTTGGGCAATCTTTTGCACTCATGGTTCACGAATCATGAACCGGGGACACAGTAGGATTCTGCTGAGGTTGTTGGCAGGCTTCGTCAAGCCATGCATGGGGATGCACATGGTGGTCAATCCACCTCCAAATGGGAGGCACGGCTTGAAGCAGCCACCGAGGATTCAGGCCAACTGTACGCTCCGATCCTCCTTCGGCAGACAAAAGATGGGGATTGCACGATTCAAGAACTGATCAACTTGTGGCATGAACAAACTCCCTACCGCTGTGGTTTTTCCACTTGCACGACCACCGTATGCTTACAAGTAAATCGGTTCCCTGCCATGGATGTTAGGTCACCATAGCCATTTCGATGGAATAGAATTAATGTCCACTTGCCATGTTTCGTCAATGCCACCAACTGGACAGTCCACTGGAAACGTTTTGAGATAGTTTCCATTGTGGTTCACCGAGGCGTAGAACCTCACTCCGGCCACTACCAGGCCTGCCTTCGGAGTGGAGGCAACCGCTTCCTAACTGAAGACTGGAGTCGAGCAATGCCATGTGCTCACACTTCAGATCTTGAGCATGACCTGTATGTCCTGTGGCTCGTTGATAACACACACCTCACGAGCGCCTGGAATTCACTTCTTTCATGCAACCCTTTTGTGCCTTTTTCGAGTAGCCAAGAGCACTAAAGAACGATGCCGCCCGGGGCACCCGATGCGCAAGACGTAACCAATCTACGGATTGACGCCCAACACGGGCAGAGCTCTCTCTGCCGGAAGTGAAATAGAAAATAACAATATAAAACTATCAATATAAAAGTATTTTTTATTTTTTTCTTTAATAAATATATAAAATTGGTCGATCGAAGGATTGTTGATAGATTTAATTTTATTTTCGGAATTTAATATAATTCAAAAATCTATTGAAAAACAAATTATTGATAGATTTAATCAAATTTTTAAATAATATATATTAAGAATATTGGTAGGACGAAGCGTGCCGCCGGCAATTTCTTTCGTTACGTATTTATTATTTAATTTTACAACAAAAATTGGCCGGGCGAAGAATCGTTAATAATTCTAAGGTTACCTTCGGAAATCCATAGGAGAAAAGTAGGTTTTATAGGGTAGTTGCAGAAGGATTACCGTAGAGGATTTGGTTTGAGGTCTAGAAAAGGATATTTAATGGTCGTTATAGAAAATTAATTCTTGGATTCTTGGCAATGTCCTTCGTTACGCTTTTCTACCATTTATTAAGACCGCTGCTAGGCTTCGGAAATCTATAGGAGAAAAATTTTGAGAAGATCCTATAGGGTAGTTGCAGACGAATTGCCGTAAAGGATTTGGAAGATTTGAAAAATTGGAAAGGATGCCTAACGATCGGTCCTCTTAATAATTTCGTTGGGTATATTTTTCCACCATCTAATTCTCCAACAAAAATAATCCAAAAATTGGCCGAACGAAAGATCGCTAACAGGTCTAATAAGGTCTTCGGAACCCCGCACGAAAAGAATCTTAAATAGGTCCTACGGGGGAAATTGCAGAAAGATTGCCATAGAAAATTTAGAGGGTTTAAGGCCTCGGAAAAGGGGCGTCTTACGATCATTCTAGAGATTTTATTTCGTAATTGTTGGCAATCTCCTTCGCTACAATTTTCCGCCATCTAATTCCACAACAAAAATAATCCAAAATTTGGCCGGGCGAAAGGCCGTTAACAGGCCTAATGTTGTCTTCGGAACCCCATAGGAGCAGAATCCAGAGCAATCCGAGATAATTGCAGAAAGATTACCATAAAAGATGTATAAATAAAGAATTCAAAATAGGCCTAAATAATTATAAAAGTGTTCCTAAATATTTGCAATATTTATGCCATATATAATTTAATATCAATTAATTCACCCTATAATATTCCAAATGTCAATCCGCCTAAGCATCAATTAAATCAAGATCGGCGAATATATAAATAATATATTTAAATTATTTAATAACATTCGATATTTTAAAATAAAATATATATATATATCATTATAAATTAATTTAAAAATATATTGTTATATTTAAGAAAATTATACAGATTTCGATTAATAAATTATATATTTATATATTTCATATATATTCTTTATAATTTCTTATATTTTTTCTATTTCCAAACATATTTTTTCCTTTTCTATAATATTTATTTATTTCTTTATTTTCTAAATTCTTTCTATCATTTATTATTTATCCTTTCCGAACTTCTTATTTTAATAATCCATATAAAATACATATTATATTAAAATAATTCCCTAATCCATAAAATTCAATGCAATAAAATTAAATACGATTAAATATTAAAATTTCAATATATTTATAATTTATAAATCCAAATAACAATATATAAATTAAAAAAATATTTATATTATTTATTAAAATACATATATAATATCAACGATATATACCAAATCAAAAACCATAAATTTTCATTTATTAATAATATTTTTTAAAATATTCTATATTTAAAAAATGTAAATAATAAAACAAAGTTATTTAACATATATAGAATTAATTAATATAAATAATATTTGTTTATTTATTTATATTTCCTTTTTTGGAACACCTATATTATATTTAAGGGAACGGTGGAAACATCCGTAATGTAATACCGGAAGTAGCGAGCGCCTCACGCACCTCATGTCCTGCATTAGTTCCATCGAAACGTTTGGGTGTGAATTCACCCTACTCAATGCGGATACTCAGGGGCACTTCAAGACCCTGTACAAGAAGAACTATGGAATACCAATCACTTCTGTCTCATCGTGCATGAATGCTTTCGGAGTCTGGAGAATAACAAGCCCCTCCAGGGGCTTGATTATGAAGACTGCCCGAAGGCGATTCGAGTCCCTGTCTCTGAATCAGGTATCCTTGAAGCCAAGGCCTTCCACTCGACCACGCGAGTCCGCCACGCCTGCTTAGATGTTGGCTTTAGCACAATCAGCCCGCAAGCGTGGCGGTATTGCCACTCCCTGCGGACCGTCAAGCTGCCGGACACGGTTGTAACGTTAGGATATGCAGCTTTCCAGGGATGTTACTCTTCTTCTACACCATTCCTCGGCTGGTCTTGCTCGGACTCTGTCTAAGTGCATGCTCTCGATGCTGCGAGGGGACAGGTACTCATGTGTTGCAGCTTGCCCTAGCAGCTTCGGCAATCTTGGTAATGTCGAGCGCGGGCCATAGAATGACTTGTTCGGATGCCGCCGAGGCAACGGCGAAAGGCTACTTTGTGAGGTTTCATCGTCAGTGAGAATGCAGTCGTCCTGTAGGCCACTTGGGCAGGACTGACGGACTGTATTTCACTTCCAGCCTGAGGTGCTTGTGTCGGGGATGGGCTCCGCGGCCGGGCGGGCGTGGCCGGGCAGATGCGCTGCCTTCACTGGCTCTTAGTAGAGGGCTTCCTCGCGGAGGCTGTGTTCTCTTCTGCCCCTCTGGCAGCCGCTCGTAGATGAGAGCACTGTCAGGGAGCTGCACTGAGGCATAGCAAATGGAACCAAGACCAAGCAAATCATGACCCCCGCATTCTTAACTTTTCGCAACACCTGCCAGCTCATTGCCTCCCCACATCACCCTCCCAAGAACGGCCCGGTATGCTGTCCGCACAGGCGAACAGGAGTCTGTCTCCTCTCAGTCTTACCCGTTCCCTGCCCTCTACCAAGCCTTCCAAATGCTAGCCTGCTCTCAACTGCCCCACTAAGAAACTCTCTTCTTGGATGCTCAATTCGCCCGCCCACCGAACCGTAGGCTGCAGCACCCCCTATCAATACATTGTGGTTGCTTTCCAGCGCCGTGGCCGCCATACCCAGGCACCAAAAATCAGAACAGCTGGATGTGTGGCGTGAGGCAATCAGAGGTTCTCAAGATCATTGTGAGGCCACCCAATAAAGGACAAATTGTACAAGTGACTTGCCAAAATTAAATGCAACTGCTGCAATGCTGCAAGCCTTGAAGGTACTAAAACGCGTGGAGCCCCCAATTCAAAATCTGACCTCTGTGTACAACATGAGGCTGCAAACCATTTGGCCAAATGCTTCTAGTTCAACTGGGTGCATGATCGAACACTCTCCGCATCACTTTTTGCACAGTCCATCCTCAGAACCTGCTACACAGGCGTGATACACGCTGGCTACTTCAGAAGCTCCTTGTCTTTTTCCATCTCTTGAGGTACATCAACAGCCTGGGCTCCAACAAAGCAACTGCAAGTGTCCCGGTGTCGGACACCAAATCAGATTTATTTGCGGGCGCCAAATCAATAATGCCCCCGCCTCTGCAATTACTCCGAAGTGCAAACGTTTTGGGGTCAATCAAACGTTTGCCTCCATGAGAGTAATGTTTAGAACTTGCAGAATACAACACTATGCGCATGTGATGTGTCTGACCAAGAAGCAGGTTGAAGTGGTAGTAGATAGCAGGGAAAACCTCAGCAAAGTATAAGCTAAAGAAAAATGAATACGAGCGAGGTGATTATATTATACAGTAGATTGTGACGGGGATCTTCATGGATTGCCACCAGCTCATGGGTCAATTAAAGTCACCAGTTTTTTCCTGTTCAATGTTCATTCGTTTAGTTGCGAACCTGCATCTGACAAGATAAGGATCTTGGAAATGGACAAGTTGATCGAGCATCAGCATCAATAACGCATTGTCTGCCTCAAAAACGATCTACGCATCCGATCGTTCGTGCTGTAATTTTCAATTTGCACATCGTTCTTCCCTGGGCTGCTGCCCAGTGCTGCTGCATCACCTCGTGGGACATTTGACAGCAACGTTGCAAGACAGCTTGCCTGCCTTCCCAATCGCAATACCCTGCCTTCCTCGAAACTGCCGAGAGAATGACATGGTTCAGGTGACCAGGTGTCAAGTTACGGCTTTCCCAACGGCTATGGCCCAAAGTGTGGCGTGATGGCTCAAAAACGACTAAGCTGGACCCACTCCGACTCTAAGCCTGTGGCTTTCATCCACGTATGGATCTCCGACAAAATCAAAAGGGCCTGAAGTGGCATTGATACAAAGCAGGCGACGAGACTAAACATTCCCTTCAAGGCCTCCAGCTGCTCAGGTTCCACTTGAGGGCCGCAGGACAATTACAGTGAGACAGTAAATGAAAGGTAGCTGGATTATGCTGGATTTGGGGAGGACATGGCTGGCTCCAGCAAGTCCGTCTTCCCTGATTCATTCTTCTCTCAGAACTTGTCGGATGCATGGGAACTAGAGATGCAACATGCAAAGGACAAAAAATGAGTCAGTCAGACAGAAAAATGACTCCAAGATTTGAGAGGAAAGATCACCATTGTCCAAATGACAATACCATGCACCTGCGCTGGCTCTGAGCTTTCAGCAATGATGAGAAAACCGTAAAATCGCCGCACCTTAGAGTAGAAAGCAGAGGAGCAGAGTGAAAGATATGCCATTGCAAGCGAGCGGCTTTTGAAACCCAGCCTGGCACAAACAAGCAGCATCAAAAAGTTATTGTTCTGCAACGGCACAGTAGCCGCAGCGGACTTCCATCGACCCTGAATCTTTCATGAGCTGGCCTGGGGCTCCAAGACTGTTGATGATAAAAAGGCCCTCATTCAAGGGCGTGAGAAGGACCACCTCAGAATGAGCCAAGCTGCCAGGATGCAGGATTTTGCAAATTGAGTTGCCAATTTTGTCATGAAAGTAGATACTGTATGATGATATTATGGATACTGCAATCAGAATGCCTCATGCCGTGCTTGTGTGTAGGGCTGCTTGCTGCCAAATCAGAACAGCAGGCTAAGGCGGCAAAAGGCCGAGGATGATGCAACCAGCGGCAGAATCCACTTGTGCTGCTGATTGAGAGCGAAGCATAGCATCACCTTGAAAAGTTTGCGGAAACATGTCAACAAAAAATACTTGGCTTCAACTTCAAAACGTATAAAAACTAGACTACCCGGGGAAGCTGTACTACGATGACATTGAGTTTCCTGATCTTTAGCATGCCCTAGAGGACTCTCCGTGTCCTTATTGGAAACCATCCAGGTCTCTGCATGTCACATGTGTGGATTCAAACGCTGAGGAGTCCCTCAGCGTATAAGCCTTTGCAAGCCTTTGCATGTATGCAAAGGCATGCTACTGGGGTGCGCATCAGTGTTTGAAATGCTTCCGCTTTACAACTCTTTGCTTCTTCTTTCTACCTTCTACATCTTGTGCAGCCTGCTGAAGACCAGGCTTGAGGCGTTTCGCTTACATATCAATCAACAACTACCGATGAAAACACAATTTGTATGTTGTCTCTCTGGCCCAGGTCTCACGCCGTAAACGTGTACGGAACGTGGTGCGCGATCAGCTCGCCACAAGTCCAGCCTCTCCGTGCTGGAAGTGTGCATGTGCTTAACATTGATCAGTGAAGCGCACGTTCAATATCACTGAGATGAGTGCCAGGTGACATCGCACACCAGCCAGGGCCCAAGGCGATAGCCACCTCAGGGTTCTCCAGCGGTTTCTTCTTGTATAACTTGATTTTTATACAGGCTTTGAGGAATAGCGGCAGCTGCAGTGCAACACTGCCTCAAGCACGTAAATGCTGCAGAGGTGAAACTGGGCTGCGCCTAAGCCTGAGGTCATCAAAGCAACCGAAAGCGAAAATGCAGCAATCCGGGCCATGTTCAGCTGGCACAAGATGTGGTCAACCAGATCGACCGACCAAGCTGGATCAAAATTTAATCATCATTAACGCGGCAACAGCTCAGATGCCGCCCATGAACCTTCTACTGCAATGCTGATTTGATTCGATGCTGGGCACTCTACGTGGCAGGATTTCTGGACCATGATTGCCCGCCAAGAGCGCGACCTCGGATGTAAGATTCCCATGCCACGGCCACGGTGATTCAGTGTAGCAGTTTCAGCACTGCTCAAAAATGCGATGTTCATTTGTATTTTGTATGTTGTTGGTTTTGAGCTTCTTGTTCCAAAGCTCATGGGGGGATCCGAATGAACTTCGGCTTGGTCAGTTTCATTGATCTTCTAGAGTTGCACTTACATCGCATTGAGGAGTTACATTCTCGCTACTCATCAGTATCAATATCACTTGGAGATCTGAGCGCCCGGCTCCTTCAACAAAAACTGCCAGGTAGGCAAAGAGGACACCCCAAGAGATCCTCAGCGTGCCATGAGCAAAGTGTGGGAATTTGTAAATAGTATGGGTGTCTTTCATCAAAACACATTGTTTCCCTGGCATCTACCCTTCTCGACCATCACATATCATGTTTCAACCAGCTCCAGAGACTGCAGTGAAAAAGGCAACAGAAGGGAGGTTCAACATGGTTCAACAACCACCAGTCCCCTTCTATGGGTGTTCAACCGCCAGCCCCCGTCTCCAACTGCACACTAAAGTCATTATATAGATTTCATGGATCCCTATCCCCCTACTGTGGAACCGCTTCCTTCTCTGCCCAAAACTTCGTCTTAGACTTGGCTTTCTACACAACTGTTGAGCCTCCGACCATGTATGTGATGGCGGTTGCAGTTCAACCCGGCCTTGTGACATCACTATCACTATGTAGATTGTCAGCAAATGTCAACATCAAGTTCCCTATCATTCGTGCACAGGAAGTGAGGCGCCCTGCCCTTTTTGCCAACAGGAATGGCCTGCTGTGGCGTTGCCTGAGCAGCCTCAAGAGGTCAAACTTAAAGGTTCGCAGCCAAGACACGACATATTAATGTAGGAATGGAAGAGGGTGGCCAGGCCACGGACTCTTGGAACATAGCTACAAATAGGGCCCACAACGAGGCAACATTGGACCAACCACGGGCTCATGCATCCTGAGCTCCTCACCATGTTTCAATCCGGCCATTCAAGCGATCATGGGAAGATTTGATTGCAGGGTTGTGACTGGCCAAATTGGGATCAATCTGATGATGTTCTCCACAACGCAAACTTTCTTGATTTTGACCGTGGACATCTCTGAGAGCAGCTTTATTTTCCCGGGTCCGCTTGCTACGTCAACGCATTGCCCGAGCCAAAACCCAATGAGCCAACATGCAAACATGAGTCAAATGTGTGAGGACTCTTGTTGTGACCAAAGCGACATGTCATGTCCATAGATCTGGGTATCAAAATTACATGGCAGGGGATGGATTCCCTAACGCTCCGGACTTAGCATGTCTCGGCACTGGGACAAGCAGCAACCGATTTTGCAACAATGATAATATGACATGACAATCTATATGTATGAGTTGTTTCAGCCATTGCTGGATTTGCAACCACCTCTGTCCGCATCCCTTCGGGCACCAAGTGCAAACTGCTCAGAGGTTGCTGAGAATGGAAGTTTCTCTTGGACTGCTGCAGCATTGCCGCCTGAAATGTTTTTTTTGCAGCAGTAAATGAATATGCCCGGATTGAAGCGTTGGTTGTTCCCCTCAAATTCCCCCAACATTCTGGTCATGCCTCTATGACACCCACTCCATAGCAACTCAGGCAGGTCCCAGGTATGCCGGGATATGTAGGGCGGCGATGTGCGAGCAAAGGCCTCCAGCTTCCTCAACGGACCTACACACCGCCCCACGCAGTGTTCCATGTTCAGTGAAACCATGCTTTTCACTCTGGTGCTGGGCTTTCATTGGCTGTGATGTGTGGCAGAAGGCAGCATTACGCAGTACTTTCCGATGTTGCATGATGGCGCGATGCGCCACATCGCGCCGCGGTTCCAGTTCCGGAGCTTCCACTTCACCTCGGGGGACGAATCATCGGAGCTTAGATGTTGGACTCCCCGTGCGAGGGAAGCAAGTGATCAGTTGCGTCTGGGGTTGAGTCACTTGGTCCATCTTGTGACCAAGGCATGACATCAGTTGACATTGTAAGGACGGTGATGTGGCAAAGTGATACCTGAACACGTGCCCATTGAACCTCGTAGCCAAGGGCTTGTGCCCTAGCTGTTGGAATCCGGTGAGTTGCGATGTGATATAGTTTTGGAAGTTCTTCTTGACACTTGTGTGTCGAAATCGCTGCTTTTTGGTTTGTCATGTGGTGAAGTGTCGCGCAGTGAAATGCAGTGTGAGGATGAGCATTGATGTTGTGTTGCTTCGGAAGCTCTAATTTTGGAAATCTCTACCTCGATGCTTGTCCATCTTTTCTCTAGGAGCCTCTACTTTCACCATTGCTATTGCATGTGGATACTTCTCTCTGCGAATCATTGCTCTGGATACCTAGCTGTCTCCGTAAATTTACACTTACATCTTCTCTAGACATCTGTAACTCACAACCGCTAATTAACACAGCCTTCACTTCCAGAAGACGAGCCAACGAATGCGCAAAACAAAAGCCCGCACCATGCTCCTCCTGCATCCCTGGCCTCCTGCATGCTCCCCTTCCCCAATTGAAACCCTGTCTTTAGCACTCCCCCACCCGGCTCCGGGGTTCAAGCCTGCTACCTTGTTCTCCAACGCTCATCTGAGCGATGGTTTCAAAATCGCTCTGTTTGAGTTGGTCTTGAAGGCAGCAGCGTGCCCCTTGAACAATTTCAACGTTCTTTTCATTCTGACCCGGTCTTTTAGCGTGTGAAACGTTCAAAGGCGCAGCTTTCGCCTGAGCAAAAGGTCGAGCACTAAACAAAACTGTACAAGCTTCGTCCTCAAGCCACCGCATCAATATGCATCAATGCACACGGTTTGTGAAATAAAACATGCATGGTGAAACCTTGTGATTCATCACTCTATCCTAAAGATCCTACAAGTCACTAGTATGCCTTGCCTTGGCCAAAAAACCTAGGTGCATGCAAACATTCTGGTCACTCATACATGCCTTTACATCTGTCTGACTTTGCATGTGTTGTCACATTCTTGCGCACAACATCCGTCGAACGAGCTCCAGACTATGCAGCCCCGGGCGCGGCTTGACGATGCTTGCGAAGGCTGCGGATGCCTCGCCTCAGGGTATTCGAGATCAACGACATGTCACATATGGTGTGTAACTGCAGCAGCAGCAGCAGCAGCAGCACATGTGGTCTCTGTCATTCTAGAGTCAGTCCTGATGTCCTGAAAGTAGTTTGTCGTGTGCACATGGTGAGACAAAACAAAGTTTGTATGTTGTATCTAATAGATTCTAATAGTTATACAAACTATATAGATATATTAGTTACTAGTAGCATGTTGGGTCCATGAGACCATCATCAAACCTAAGAAAACGGAAAACCACAAAGCAAATCGGTATTTAAGTTCAGGACAAACCGTTGCCGTAGGCCTGCACGGCATCGTCCTTCACTGCCTGGTTTCCCAAGGCGAAGGATAAGGAATCACGCAGAAACCAAGCTTGTGCACACAGCGTTGACACCTGAGATTTTCTTGGACAATAGTACCGCATGATGAGCTAATAAAGAGTTTGCCAGAAAAGACCACTGACACCAATACGGAAATGCTGATCAAGCCAGTCATAATCTTAAATTGTTAATTACATTTGGTGGGGAAGCATGCAGTCTTGCCTTCGGCGTCAGGACAGAAATGCAATTGGAGAGGATAACCGCTCCATCCTCTTCTTTGTGCCTGCCTGTGGAAGCTCTAACTATGCGCCCAAAGGGCAGGTTTTGATTGGGCAGGTTGTATTTGGGTCCGTGTGATGCAGTACATCGCCCGTGTCTGAACTAGCCAAGTTGAACGAATTTACAATGCCTGCAAGTTTCCTTCTCGGTTCCTGTTGAATCTATAAGGTGAGACTGTGGCACCGCTGCATCGTTCTGGTTTCCAATCCTTGCTCCCAGCGCATGTTGCTGGTGGTTGGCTCGTAGTCGGGCTCTTCACCCTTGGCGACAGAACACGAAAACGACATCCGTATCATCAGTTCTTTGGACAAGGATGAGCTTGGGGGCCATACCAACTTCGCTAAGCCTGCCTGGCGGTGAAATCAAGGAGCTGAGTAAAACATCGATATGGAAACCGACCTCAAGGATCTGCTGTTGCTCGGGAGACAGCATCCTGAGCCAAGTAGACACTGACAAGCTGCATATGCTTTGCAGTTGGCTTCACCTTGGACTCTGCATGAATATGTCATGACACATCTTGTCATTTCCATTGTCCTGTGGGCTGAAGTGCGCCAGTCCTTGCATGCGAATAAGCCGGCGAATGGCCCATGCCGGCGACGGCCAACTGCGTTTGGTCTATGGTGAAGACCCAGGTGTTGGTAGAATCGGCGCCAAAATCCCAATTTGATCCGATTTGTTTAACTCGGCAGCTCAAGAAAGGACATGAAACAACCGAACAACTGACTAGTGGCACATGTCCGATTGTTTCGCTGCGGACGGGTCAACTCCATCTACCTGGCCGAGTATCCACCTCCTCCAAAGGAACGGACTTTTCAACATTGCCATCATCCACATAGACCACATCAATGCTGTGGCCTCATTGTGGTTTTGCAGCCTGCTGCAAAAGCCTCTTAGCTGCTAAGGCAATGCAAGTCGCTCGTTCATGCTCATTCAAACTTTTCCGGGAAGAGGAGGGAGGCAAGTGCAGAAGTTCAACCAAAGAGGAGGGCAAAAGGCGATTCATCCTCCCATATTCTATCCTGTTTCCACATACGACATCGGTCATTCGTTATTTCCAGAGGTTGCTCTGCTTTTTCCTTTGCCCTTTTCCGGTGTTTTGTGATCGACCACTGAAAGACATGCAGCGCTCCAAAGTGCCACGCCAACTCTCAGGATGATGACTTCAAAGCTGAGATCGTCGATACTACGCATGGCGATCTGCAGCATGGTCAGGTGCGAAAGGTGATCCCCAAATCTAAAGAGATGTTGCTTTGAAAGGGGGTTTGAGAATTTTTGAGACACTTGAAAGCCATAGTTTCTGTTCAACACCAATTTGAACAACATTAAATGCTGCACTTGAGTTGGCTTGCGTTCCCACCTTGCCAGGTTGGATTGACCTCGATCAAACTCACATCGACCACAAAATATACTGTATCTGCATATAATTGCATGCATATATATATATATACATACCGTACACGCTTGAGTTGCTTCACCAGCCCGTTCGTAGCCAATCGCATTTTCCAAGAGCCAGGCTCTCCCATTACCTGACTTTTTAGCTGCACTGCAGCCTTTTCCAACTTACATGGTCAGCTTTTGCATATGTTCGCATCATGAAGATCACGAAGTGCTTTAGGACACTTGTCATGACACTCCCGCAAGGCGATCCAGAAAGCATTGAGAACGTGCCTCCGCACAATTTGCGTAGTTGACGGAGCCGTTCTTGTCAGTGCAGCTTCTGTTCTTTTGAAGGCTTCACTTTCATTGCTAGTTGCTAGCCTCGTGTAATGCCTCTGTTTGATTGAGCTGGCTGGCTCTTATCATGCACGCTGCACGCTACTTAACAAACGGAAACCACTTATATAGAGTGTCCGTGTGACTTGGCTTGCCCCAAGCCAGACCCAAAAAAAAATGTCCTATGCTATCCTACGCTGCTGCTGTCTGAACAAAAAGAATGCTGCTCAGATCTTCGATGTAACATCAGTCAAAACATGTCAAAACAATCAGTTGGTTGGCATTGGCTGGGCAAAGCACTAGCAAATGTCTAGTTCAAGGGCAAAACATGCGGGACATGTAGGGTTCCGGCGCGGTGCTCATAACGGAGACCCGGTGTCTCATTACCGGCCAATGGCTCCTATTCTTGCAACGCTGTAAAACCACCAAGTCTGGGTGCAGGGGGCATTGACTCCGGTGTGCTGAGAATCAAGAAGAAATCCATAGAAATCCGAACAATCATCTACGCTACACTGCATGAAGCATCGGCGACCGAAGTGCAGTTCCAAGACGAGAACTACTTCGGCATTGAACATCCCGAAGGAGCTGCCTCATGGACCATGGAGCCAGACTACTTCACCGCCAAGACGTAGCCCTCATTCTCATTACCTTCGACCAATGAGCTTTTCGCCTGTTAAGGTGGTCAAAGGGGGAACAAGTTCTGCAGAGCCTCGTCCAGAAGGACCACGTGAACACTGGACATCCAGACCGAAGAGTCGAATGCCGAGAGCTGTCAAGGCAACTGGAGCTTTGCCTCAGGTGTTGCGCTACATCCGGGACGAGTTCAAGTGCGAGGACTCCACTGAGCTCAGCAGGGCCCAAACAACAGGAGGCGAGCTCAGTTGCCACCTTCCACAAGGTGCTGTGCGTGGCGCATGGACTACCAGACTACCTGTTGTGAAGCTCAAAGACGCCCAAATCCCATCCTCAACATGGTGGATGCGGGCACGAGCTATCAGCTCCAGAAGGAGGAACTCGAGGCGGCCATCTGAGCTCGACCTCCAAATGGCTGAGGTACTGGCTGAGGTATTTCCGGGCACCCCAGATGCTCTTGTGACTCTTTGAATCTCTTTGATCTCTTTGTGCGACGCTGGGGATGAGTTCCGTGGCAACTTTGAGCGAGGTCTGGAGCTCAGTGGAGTTCAACACGTGCTCCTGCGCAGTGGTTTGGCCGAGAGCGGCATGGCTGAAGAATCGCGATGCTGAACTACCCGGGAGCAGCTGGACAAGTTCATCTCAGCCCCGACGTCAAGAACATGTGGCTTTGTCGGGGCAGCTCCAGCACAGCACAGCTTGTGGGAGAACTGCCAGGACCCGGATCCCTGGGGATCTTCTGTCTAACCTGGCTTTGCATGGCTTGATGCCCACAACAACCCTTCATCCATCGATCAGGCTGACTGCAGGAGCCCAGGACAGTGGGCGCGTGTTCAGAAGAGCAAGCACCCACACCACCGAGCTCGGAGCTCGAGAGGAGCCATCAGGCCAAGTAGGGCGAGGAGTTATGAGGAGTTCAATCCACTGTCCCGTTTGCAACATTCCCCTGAAGAAAATGAAGATCAACAGCATCAACTGCGGAGTCGGACCTTCTTCATCCTTCTTCAACTACCAGCTTTGGCCCTGGATGAATCAGGTTCCTGGAGCTATGTGGTGAAGCGCAACAACGAGGTCCCCTTCAAAAGTATGAGCTGGTGAGTCTGACGACTGAATGGGGCGCCGTGCGGACGACACCAACCGCTCGCCGATGACGTGGGACAGGAGTCTCAGTTCGAGGATGGTCGGGCCAAAACCACCGCCTTCGGCCTCCACTCTTGGAAGGCCCAAATCCGATGCGTACGAGAGCGTGGCGATACGACACAGCTGAACGACGGACCGTTCTGCGCCGACTTCTCAGTCAGGAGCGGCTGTGGTTCCTTTAGGTCGCAGTCAACTTCGCGGACGTTACGCGTGCCTTCTGCGCTGCAACGAGCGGCTGGACCACTGTTTGCCGAGCCCTGCGAGGGTTTGAAGCTATATACTGCCAGGAGCTCTCATCTCGAGTCACGTTCCTGTGTACAGCCTGGATGATGCTCTGAGTCAGTGCAGCTGCTCCGTCAAAAGCTGTGCCCAAAAATGCCCAAAACAAATCCACCTCCGAAAACGAGCAGTGCTCTTCCACTGTCAGCGAAGCAACTCTGCCAAAAGCTGAGCCAACACCGCCGCCAGCAAAAGATGCAAAAGTGTAAGCTTCTGCCCCACAGCAGCTGGTAGATATCACAACCCCGCATCCCACACTCGCAGCACCCTCCCCAACGGCTGACTCTAGGAGGACTTCGAGCTTTGATGTGGATTCTGAATCAGCATGGGCTGACTGGAATACTTCTCGGGACGGATGGGGCGATTCATGGGATGACGAATGGTGCAGTCAAAGGCATTCATTTGGAAGTAGAGGTGAAGCATGGCCAGAAGGACAGCAGGAGGACAACACCCGGACACAGGGTTCAAGGGCATGGCCTAAGACTGTGGCCGGCATCTTGTTTCATCTTGTTTCCTAAGGGAGGGAGGGAGGGAGAGAGAGAGAGAGAGCGCCAGCCAGCAGTGAACTGTTTGGGGGATGAGTATGTATACAAGAGGCACACTTGGCATGAAGAATCATTCAAGCACGAATGCAAGAGACAATACACAACCACTTGCTAATTAGCGTTCCTGCTGCGAGTAGAAATAAGGGTGCCCAAAAGCATCAGAGTCAGAGAATGTTCAAACCACAATCCAACGAGCGCGGCCATAGATTTCCTGCTCTCTACATGCACCCTTTCATCACGCATTTTGCGTGGGGAGCGGTGAAACCGGACCAAAGATTACGAAAGGATTACAACATCGTGCAAGATCACCACCTCGCCAAGTGTCCATTGTTGTTTTGTGCAGTGCTGCCTTCGATTTGAAGATCTGACGGTCATGACATGCTGTAGAAGGTACCTGCTTCATGCAGCGAATTCACGGCATGTTCACAGCACGAAGGTACCCGACTTCAAGCGGAAGGACCTCGAAAGTCACATTGGAAAAACTTGAAAAAACTGGTCACGGAAGGCCTCTCTGTTTTGTTCGTTGGACCAACTTGTCGGAACCTTTTCCGGTTGACTTTACATAGCTACCCTCCGTCTCAAGTCTTCCTAGTCTTGGACTGCCGCTAGTCCAAGGATCCCATCGTTTCTTGGTGGCCGGACTTCTGAAGCTTGGGCAGCGATGGATTGTAGTAGGCAGGGCCAGGCACAGAAGACAACTGGCGTGACATACGGTTATGAGCTTGGAAATGGGTGGGAGTCATGCAACTGTCTGCCATTCAGTGCTGGCGCTGGCAACCCTACGGCGGCTCTCAGCGAGAAGCTAGGTTTGACCTTTCTGGTTGCTCTTGATTCGGTGGGCAGTTAAGTCCATTCTGCAGTGGATCAACCTTCCGCTTGTCCGCCTCAAGGTTAGTGCCCTATACCAGAACCCTCGCCTAACTTGAACGTGTACCGACTACGATGACTCATGTATCGAAGTGATCTTTCAAGAATCCGTGCAACCGGGTCATGTTGGCCATCTGCTGCGTTGCGCCTGAAGTTTGTTGCGTTCGGAAGCTGAGATGAAGGCAGACTTCGCAGAGGTCAGGCGACCCATGGGCAGTCCCTGAAGAATGGACAAATTGGAAGGTGGAAGCATGGACTGTAGTGACAGGCTTCTTGAATTAATGGTTTACATGGTTTTACCATGTTTTTGCATGCTCTTAACATGTTTTTTTAAGCCACTGGTGTTACCATGTTTGACCCATGACCGGCACCTTTGGCTCGTACTTTCCGGGGCCAGGGAGGCACGACAGTTCCTGCGATGGATGTGTTGAAAATGGATCTCAACAAAGCCGAACCATTCACAGCAAATACCTCAACAAGAAAATCCAGTGCTAGTCACTCAAGTTGTGGATTACATGTTTGGAACTTTAGGTTCTCTCAACTTGACCTTGGCTCTGAAAACGGGTGGATTGAGAACGAAAGGATATATATTACACAAAACTTGGGAAACAAAGATATGGTGCCATCTTGAACTCAAAAATGCTGAGAAACACGCTGGCAGGGGTCCTCTGGTGCCCAGTCAGTGCGCTTGGGTCCATCTTTGAAAGCACTTGCACAAACCTGCATGGTCACTTTCGAGTGGCACAACTTCAAGAATCCAATGAGTTTGCAGATCACAATACTGTATATCAAATTCATATCATCATTAATTACGTAACATTAGTTAACCAATGCGAAGCATGTCTCATGTCTCCCATGATGATAAAACTGAGCAAAAGCCCGGAGCTTTGGCAATTCATATGTGTCCTCGAACCCACCTCTTGAAGCAAAACAATCTCCGGACTGCGCTCCGCTTGGGCTCAGGGCGGACGAAACCGAATTCTCCAAGCTTAGCTCCTGACCCAGTTTCTTTCTACGTTTTGGACGATCACAGGTGTGCTACGTTGCCCCCTATTTTGCGCACATCTTCAACGAGCTGGTTGCAAACATGATTGCAATATATATGTGATACAACATGTCCAAATTCTGCACCCTTTGCAGTCTTCGCTTGTCATTACTGGTCCACGCTGATTCCGCACCCTTTAAGCAACAGTATCAACAACTGTGCTCTTGCCAAAACCTTGAAGGCCCCAGTCTCCCACTCCCACACCTCAAAATCATCAAAAACAAACAGTACAGCTCTTGCATAGCTCTTGCGCATCATTGCGCTGACGCATTGGTCGAATCTCTCGTCGTTCGCACCGACCACCGTCAGTCGGCGTCCAACGCTCGCGCCGACCGACGGCTCGCTCCTGCTCGTAGTGACCCGGTCCAGGGAGCGCCACCTGCAAACCCTGCGTCCCAAGGCATTCGCGGCTCACCTGCCACGCGGCTTCCCCCTGGTGTGCGCTAAGGGGTCAAAGACTGACTGGAGCATGGAGCATAAATGAGCAGACAGGACGTGTGTAGAGTATGAGTCTGTGTATCTGTCACTAGTAGTCTAGTAGTCACTCATTCTGGTTTCAAACTTGTTCGGAGGATCGCCAAAAGCCTGGGGTTGCAACCTTCCAGGGAGAAAAAGTGCTGATCTGTCCAGTCCTTTAGCAGTGCAACTGTCAAAGAGGTTGTTGGAGACACTTCCAAGCTGTGGAAGTGGTATGCTTTCAACTCTGTCATGGGCTCTTGATGCTGGTGGCATGGTGTGGTACGATCAAAATGCCCATGACATGGTGGGTTCTTGCCGCTGGGGTGGTCCCTCCTGACTCGTTTCGGCCCAATAGTTGCCGCATGTGGCGGCTATATGCTAAAAGTGAAGCACATGTAACGAAAGCCACTAGAAAATTCGAACAACTGCCACTCTGCAATGACCAAATAAAGCCTTCCAGGCCAAGGGGCCTAGTGACGGTGCACGAATTACTTGCAAAACTCGAGTGAAAAGCCACGAGAGGAGCAATCTCACAATGCCAAATAACAAATGATCAAGAAATCAAGAAGCAACTCAAACATGAACCTAGTGGCCCACCACTTGCTTGGACTGTTTACATTGTTTCAATAAGGCAGGGAAAGAAGTAAAGCAATGTGGAGAAGAAAGGTTGAGGAAGTTCGAGAAAATGTGAAGCAAAGAGGAAATGTGTGAGGAAGTTTGGAAATTCTGTTAAAGCAAGGAGAAGAAGTGCCGCAAAATGCCGCAAAGTGATGCAAGCACGAACAGCCAAAGTGTGTATCACGCACTCCGCGGGTTCGTTGTCCCAACCTCATCCCCAAAGCTTCCCAGGATGCCTCGCAGTGCAAGCGAGGAGTCTTTCGCTGGACAGGCGAGGAGAAACAAACAGGTAAGTCCCAAACGGAGGTCGGGACTGATTTTTCGGACGGATTCTTACAGCACATTGACCTGGATGTGCTGGTTGGTTTGCCTGGATTCGCGTCATCTGAGTGCCAGACTTCTGGCCTTTGCAGAAGCTGCCGGAAGGTCGTGGTGAATCTTAGTGATGTGAGGCCGGTGTCTTTCCTCACCGTGGCTCGTCGGGCGCTGAGGCAACGCGGCTCGTGTAGTTTGCATCAACGGGCCGTTCTCGAACGATTATTGGTTTAATGATGTTTAATGCAAGTCTGGCACAGGTCTTGATGTTCCTTGCGATCCATTCAGTCTGTTTTGAGACTCAGCTGTCACAGAGCTGTCGCTCCTTGAAAGTGGGCATCCGCATGTCTAGGCCCTGATGATATTCCGGCACGTAGCCAACAGGCCTGCACCAAACGCTGGTCAACACCAGAACTAGTTCCAGCGGCTGACCCAAACTCCGCCTGGCCATGCCATCGTAGTATTCTCCAGGCCCTGGAATTCCTGAAGGCTCAAGGTCACCTGGTGCTCACAAGCAAGGCATCATTTGGTGAGAAGAATCCATCAACTCTTGCTTACCCAGGCAAAACACGTTCGGTGGTTCCCAGCATGTGATTCACCTGCTCATGTTGCCTCTCACGTCCACAGCCTGGTTGTTTTTTCTTCAGGACTTTCTGAACAGGTTGTCGTTTGAATATTCCATATTCCTTCCACCTTCCTCAAATCTGCTGTGGTTTCTGCCCAATCCGACAGCCCCCCTGACAGCAGCACGTGGCCCCAGTCTCACCTTTCAACCGTGTGCTGCTTGAATTGAAGGCAGCTTGTGCTGCTGCAGCCTCCCACAGCTAGGACTGGGAAGTGGACAGTGCTCAGAACGATAAGAAGGAAGTTGCAAAAACTGCAAGAACATGTTTTAAAACATCATGTATAATCATGTATATAAATAGCCAAATGTGGAACACAAGTTGCAAATCTCACAAACGACCTATCGAGGCAGTGAGATTCCATCTGTCATACAGTATGGTTCATGCGATCGATTCTTCCCCCCATCGTGCGATCATGCGAAAAGGACACAAAAAGCACCGTCGTTCGGCACCTCCCAGTCGTTCCGGCTTGAATCCCCGGCGCTGAGGCACATCTCTCGATGAGAGTCGGACGGGCCCGGGGCCTCTCTGGCGGTAGGCAGCATCCTGGGATCATATTGCCTGACACAAGTAACAAGAGCATCGCAGCATCGCTAACAAGGGCATTACTACTGGTAGCTAGAAGGGGTTACAGAGATGCTGCTGTGACCTCCTGCATTGCAATAGGCAATGACGCAATGGGTTGTGTACTGCTGAGGGTCTCAAGTTAAAAGCCTGCTTGTCACTTGGATGTGGGAGCTAGCAAGTGCCTAACATTCTGCCAAAAGGTACGTAGGTCCATCAGAGTAGCACGCACAACTGCAATTATGTGCGCATAGGTGTAAGTGCATATATGTTATATACACAAATGCAATATAGACATTATTTGTTTTCTGCAAATGCATCTCTAACTTTATCCGTGTGACATTAGTCATCACTCCTTGCCGCCAAGTTTTGCTGATATCTGACGTTTCCCCTGTACTGAACGTGCCAGGACCACCCAGGCCCAGGCAATCGGCTGCTTGGGGGCACCTTCAAGTAAACAAGCTACAGAATCCAAAATCAAATCAAGTCAAATTGTTGGATCCTCTATTAAAAGGAAAATAGGGCCACTAGAGCCACTGTGCACTCATGAGACCTTCTGCCCATTCTTGGAGGGGTTGAAGTTGGCCGAAGCTCCAGCCTGGCGCACAGGCCGCAAAAGCAATCTGAACGGAGGCGACTGGACAATTCTTGAAGGTAGGTCGATGTGCCTTGTTGAAGTTCTTGCGTTCCTTGGTGCTGTGCAACGCGCCAAGAGCATTGTAGGCACCTGACAAACGGCCACAGCCTTCTGCCATGCCTACTTCTCCTAATTATCTGTCTGGAAGGAAAGTTAAGTCCTCAATTTTGAGTCTGGCATTGCGCGAGAAGCTTCGGTGTTGTCCTCTCTGAATTTGTCTTGATGGAAGCTCCAATGCAAGGTGGCAAGGCATCTTCTATGTACCCTCGTATTGCGGCATTGCTTCCACGATCAAACGATTAACACGTACAGGCGCAGGTATGTGCAGGTCAGGTATCCCAACAGCATCCAGCGTAAACTGGAGTCACCATTCACAGGTCTCGCCTGGTCCAGGACAGCCAAGGCCCGGTGGTGGCATGCTTGGCATGGACCTGGCTCAATGTTCTCTGTTCCATCCGGCAGATTCAATCTTTGTACGGCTTGTGTAAGACAAAGCACGTCATTTTGTCCTGGCCCTTGTGGCGCTTGCCTCATGCCAAATCGCCTGGCTTTAGAAGCAAAGCCGCTAGTGCCCCCTGGCATCTTGGACTGGCCATTGCCAAACAATCTGCAAAATCTTCTGGTGACAGAATCTCATCTGAGAGTGGGATGATGGGATTCAATCCCTCCTTGACTTCTGGACGACGCCATTTGATAGAGAAAGGTCGTGGAATTCATCAAAACATGGACATCCATCATTTTTAGTCATAAATTTAGCCAGGAAGTCGAGCACCCCAGCCGGGTCTTTCTGTGAATTCCTGCGCACGTGTCTCCGAGTCTCCGTCCGGAACGTGAAGCGGAAGTGATACGCTGAATCATGCTGAATCGATCAGGTGCTGCTTCTGAGGACTTGTGTAGTATGCGGGCTAGCAAGGGTTGTCCAACAAGCTGCAGTTTTGCTCATGAAGTCCCGTCCTGATGGAAAGTCTTCCGCTCTCCGTAACTCAGTGGTCAAACTCGGTGATCGTTGGTGATTCGAAAAAGAAACAAGAACAGCTGCTGACTGACCCAGCCTTCCAGGGCCAGGACCATCGACTTGTCTTTCCACCTCAGAACGAAATTGAACAACTAGCAAATAGAAGAAACAAAATGGAACAAGATCAAACAAGGACATGTGAGATGTTCTTGCAGGTTTTCCGTGCAAGAAGAAGAAGAAGGAGAAGAAGGACTTTCTTAGTTCTTTCCTCATCTTTTCGTTTACTGTAATTCTAATTTAATTCTCTACCTGGTAAATAAAGCATTGCTTTGCACAGAAGCTGTAACACATGGGCACATGGGATACAAAGCTGAGTAAGAGTGTGGGAAATCCTGCAAATGATGGGAACATACAAGTGGAGATTAGCTGGGATCTGAAATGAACAAGCAAACCGCAAAACACCAAACAAACATAAACAAACTAGTTGGAGGCTGACGAAAGTACCTATTGGACCTATTGCAAACGAACCAAGGGTGGGAGACATGTATCACTACCCCGCGTCTCGGGTGCCTTGGTATCACTGGGCCCAGCCAGTGTGTCTTGCATGAACTAACCCTCGGTTTGATAAAGGGAAAACCTTAGCCTAGCTGGCCTAGCTCTCTAGCTGTGGCTGACTTCCAGCACTGTGTACCAAAGGAAACATCAGGACTTGCTTGCAAGGACGTGTTTGTTTCATTGAGGGTCGAAACACCAGGCCGCATGGCTGTCTCCCAGCTTTTCTTCTGAGGATGACTTCAGGAGCAAATCAACCTCCTTCTGAGCTGCGAATACTAAAGTTCGCGCCCAGAAAAAATGCAATCCTGGTTCTTGCACAACTTGCGGGGGGGCCATCCAAAAGGTTCAACCCGAAAAAACAAGCCGACTAACTTGTTGAACAACTGGTGACTGTAAACCGAAGATGGCGATAACTCCAAATCTGATACTGTATCACATAGACACGCCAACTAAAGCTTTTGCAAACGAAGAAAAATATGATGGGAAAAATTGATTGACCTGGACCTCGACACGCAACTCCGACTGGCCTCGAAACGCATAGCGCGGCTGTTGAACCCTTTGTACTGGCAACCGGGAGGCCATCGCAAATCACATCAACAACACTGAAACACACACACTTGTAGAAATGCGTGCTGACTTGGTTGCGGTTTGCCACACGCCAGCCTAAGTGAAAACCTACGGTTCCAGGTGAGTTAAAGCATCTGGTAGCCTCCGTGAGGCCTCAAAGAAACCTCCAAAAGGTTCATCAACTCGATCCATCGAAAAGCCCGAAAACGCGACAGGCTGACGACGTCCGCTCATGTCTGCAGATTTGAAATTGAAAGATGGCCACCAGCTGCGTCTTTCTATGCGCCCAGGTGCACCAAAGCAGGTACGTTTACCTGATCATCTAGCGTAGAGCTTCGTTGGCAGAGGCTACGACTGGTGATCCCTCTGCCCCCTGCTTAAAAATATCAAGTCTAACAATCCAACAGGAACCTTGTGACTCCAAAGGTTACACACACACGGCCTCCGAGGGGAGGCAATCATTTTGCATTAAGCTCCGGACTAGTGAAAGCAAGGTGAGAAGCCAGGTGTGGAGCTAAGAGAAAACATGGATCTCACGAAAACACTGGTAGGCAGTCAGAGGTAGACAGAGTTACACACACGCCTCCCCGAGGGGAGGGCCAGGGCGAAAGTGTAAGTGCGCACGCAACAAGACAAAATAATGAAAACGTGCAAAGGGGACCATACGGGACAAAAGTGTGTGTGGTTGCGATGAAAGGGAACCAAGTGCACGGGGACAACCAATGAAAACCCGCCTCATTATAAAGACGTGGGCGACCTGAAACCTAGGGGCTGGCTGCTTAGACCGCTGCGGTCACGTACAGGCATAAAGCCACCTTGGAGTTCAGTAGTTCAACAAGTCTTGGCAAATGACTTTGGCATAAGCCTCCTGCTGTCTGCTTCGGACACCTACGTTCCCAAAGCCGGGGAACATGGACAAACCCCCGTTCAACTGGTCCACAACGGCCACTCTGCGGGTGACCCTGGGCTGGCATGAAGCCAGACACACTTATAGAAATGCGTACCGGTGTGAGTGCGGTTGCAACACGCCAGCCTAATAAACCTAAGAAACCAGGGTGAACATGTGAAAACCCTCAAGCTCACGAAAATGCCGGGGTGACTTGCCGCTGCGTTAGACGCTTACTGCACAACAAAGAATGAGACAGCTTTGCACTTATGTAGGTTCTTCTCAAAGCAGGTACATAGCTCCAGCGTCCCGGAGCTATATCACAGACCAGTGCAAGTGTCTTTGTTAGTGCCAGACTTGCACGGTCCCTGGCACCCCCTGCTTCAAATTCAAAACAGCAAAGAAACACAGTCCAACAGGAACCTTGTGACTCCAAAGGTTACACACACACACATTGCATGCCTCGCACTGAGTTCGTGCAACCAAGCTCCGTTCATTAAATGAATCAGTTTCTCTGTAACTGTTGGGTTTGCTTCCCCATGCCGCTCCTCGCAATTGCCCTTGATCAGGGTCACCGCATAGCGCGAAGGAATGGTTGGTACCTAAAGTGCCCATGGTTTGATACTTGATATACACACCCAGCTCATCCCGATGTGGGGTCTAAAGGTGGCCCCAACTGCCCGCAATATCTTCTAATACATATCCTAAGTCTAAGCTCGGCACTGATCTCTCCATTTCCTCAGTTTAGAATTGCCAGCACCCATCCATATTGTGGAAACATTTTCATGCTGTTTCCCGACCTTTGACACAAGCTGATTGTGTCAAGCCTGTGGGTCTCTGACCGAACGTGTGTTTCTCGATGGGCTGGTCGGATGCCTCTCAAAGAATGGCTGTGAACCAAAACTGAAGGGCATGATTCCGACCCGAAGAAGTCTACTTTGAACATTGGGGGTGTTGCTCATCTTCCTAAGGTTTGCCAAGAAGACCTAGTTGAGTGTGCACGTGTCTTTCCCTAGAAGTCCGCTGGGTTCTGTTGTCACGCAGAATGTCAAACCTTAAGCCTTAAGCCCCCCCAAAAACAAGTATGATATAATAATCAACAAACAATCCATGCACACAGTTGGATTTACCATGATTTATGTTCTGTCTGTAACTGTGCACTTTACTTATATAACTTCTTGAAATCTCACGAGGTGTGAGATTTTTTGGTCCCCAACGGGCCGTTGAGGCCCTTGGAACCCTCGGGTCGTGTTTTTCTTTGCTTTCTGACTTTGTGCTTCTGCTTGTGCTTTGGTTGTTCTTCTTGGTCTTGTAATGTCTTGTATATATCATGTTCTTGTTTGTCATGCATCGGTTTTTTCTTGCTCCTCTGGTTCTTGATGTATGTTTTCCCGCGTTCCAATGGATCGTCGTTGATGTCTTCACTTCATGTCAGTTTGATCTTGGCATCATGTCATCTGCCTGCTTTCTCCCATGTTCTGGCCGGACTTCATCTTCTGCGCCTGGCCAAAGAAAAGGTTCGGCGGGAAAAGCGTCAGTGAACCTCTCGAAAAGACTTTCAAACAGGCAAATGGCAAAGCATGATGCGTGCGTCTATTTTCATTTTTCCTCCCAGCACTCCAGTCACGCCAGCTCCATTTGTAGTTTACCATTTGTCTTGGAGTTCCTCTTTGTGGCTTCCCCTCGTTTCTGTCAAGCTGCCTCTGCCATCTCAGCTTCAACTGCTGTGGTTTGGCTCTCAAATGACACCGTTGGTTCTGGGGAAGTGACATCAGCCACCGGTGTCCTTGGTCGAAATCGAAGGGTTTCAAACAAGTTAAGCCACTGAAGAAAGGAAAAATACCCACGCCCACGCATGTTGGAGCACTAAACACCAATACAGGTTACAGCTCCACCAACTGCCGTGCAATCAAGCCGCCCGTTTGCCATACTGATGAGATGTTGCCGATGCGGAATGGAATGAAGCTTGACAAATCTTGAACCTATTGATTGCCTCTCCAAGTGGACTTTATGGTACAACTCGGCAAAGCAGCATTAGCATGAATGAATCGAACGAGCCACTGTATAGACCAATAAACTGCCAAATAGAGTCAAGCCGTTCCTGTGGGTCCAGTCTTGAGTTTATTCAATCCAAGTGCTTCGTTCATTCGCCCCAGGTACCTGTCAACTGAATATGGCTGGTGGATGCAAATCATCAAAATCCAACCCCATTTGCAACAGCCAAGGCCACTCGCTCTGACAAAGTCGTGCAGTCGTATGCCGTATGCAAGTTATCCTAAAAAAGGAGCGGTAGCAATGCCGCAGAACATCTTCTGAAATCGTGCAACATTGGCAAGTCGCACTGTTGCTTTTTCATGCCTCTGCGAGTGGTAATTGCAATGCCATGCCTATCAACAGTTCTGGCTGGCACGAGAAATGGAGCCTTGCAAGCCACAACACTTGTGAATCTTCATGTTCCTTACTGCATCATGTCTTGTATACACCTGTTACCTGTTACGCTTTGACCTATGCTTGTTCTTTTCTCATTATTTAGACAAAATGCGGTAGATTTAAATGATTCAGATTGTATGTTTATATATCTCTGCAAAGTACCCCAGGTGGCACATATGCATTGTACATACATGTACATCATGTACATACATACATTGCACATGTGTGTGTGTGTGTGTGTGTGGGGATCATGTTGCTTTTTTGTAGTTGATGCTGATTGACAATGGTTGATAGCTAATTACGAGTCATACCTTGCAATTCGGCTTCCAGTTCTTGCACCACTCGGCCAAGTGGCCCCTTTCAAACTCTGGACACAAATCCATGGAACTTCTATGAACTTCTCAGCATTCTTGCGTGGAGCACCCGCCGCATGGGCTGAAAGGAATTGAAACCCTAACAGTTCCTAACATGAAAGCAACCGTTCTTTCAACAGTTCTCTGAAAATGAACCTGTCGGGATTGTCATCAATGAGCAAGTATTCCCAAGCGGCATTCTTGTGCAATTGAAGGATTGCCAGGGCTCTTGATAAATTTAAAGTGCCACTTGCAGCAGGCTTTTTCTGGACTGCCGGGCTTACTTTTTGAATTTTTGGTCTGGAACGCTTTTGCCGATGCTTTAAAAGAATTAATGGAAGATTCTCCGATTCTCCGCCATGACCTCCGTACAGACCACAGCCGTGATCTCTGCTGATCGCAGCTGTGGATGCCACGGCGAACACGGTACTAATGAATTCGCTCGGTGCCTTTAGCCAAGCCTCGATCGGTTCGGATGTGGACATGAACGGATAGCCATATATTTTGCATGCGGCATGCATGAATCAGGAATTGCAGTCCAGATTACCCTAGACCTTTGGGCTGAACAACAGGACACACACAAAGTTGCAAAACCAAAAAAGTTGGAAAGGTCCTGCAGTTGCAGGTGCCAGTAGGTCAGTCTTTATGTTTGTTCTGGATGTGTTTCAGCTTTTGCCTTTTTGGTGTTTCCACCTTTTCCAGGAAAAGAGCATCCACCCCAACTGTGCTCCCGAGATGCTAGACCGGCTAGACCTCAATGTCTTGCTGCACCCTCCAACACCTTGGGGCGGCAACTTGTTGGACTAAACTGGTGTGTGAGGTGACTCTTCAGTCACGTTCAGTGCAGTGCTGGCGACTTGGCCACTGCACGGTCTCCAGTGGCTGGCCTCAAAATAGTTGCTCCGTCCAACAGCTCGCAATTTGTAATTCAACACTGCGAAGCACAAATATCTCTGAATCATAAGGACAAATTTGCGCAAAAGCGGTAGGTAGAGGCCTTCACTTTGAAGACCCATATGGAGTAAAGTGGGCTGGGGTTCAGACGAGTCCTCCTTGAATTCTGCTTGGACTTTGCCATCTTGAGACCTGCCAAGGGCGACCCACACGGCCCCACATCGTCCTGCCTGATTCCTGATGCAAAGGGACAACATGCCAGGCGATTTCTGTGACCCCTACCGAAATACACCAATACAGCCTGTTTGGGATTCGACGACAACAACAACATGATCCTGTCTCACTGTTGGAACCCGATGGAATCCGATGGATTCCAAGCCAAACCAAAAGGCAACATGGGTCGGCGGCGACAGCTCGGCAAAGGCAAGGAGAAAGCATAGCAAAGTCATGCAAAGTCCCCGGTTTTCAGTCCAAAACATAGAAACCCCGCGGACAAGGAAGCTGTAGGAGAACACCACGAGGCAAAAGGCTACAGCCAAACCCACTATGTTTCGCAAAGTATCTCACATTCTGGACTGATATTCAACATTTCGTGCAGCTGAGGTTGCGGCACGCTGAGTGTCACATGTCGTGATCTCTGCTGGATCTGGCAAACGCATGCATGAATTCAGTTGAATAGTTCTTTCGAATCAGTGCCACAAAGTCTTCATTACGTCTGTCTGACCCAAAGGAGAATGGCGACAAGGGAAGAACTCCAAGAGGAGAACTAGCATGTCGAAACATGTGCATTTGTAGGTCCCGTTCTCCACTTGCAGGTGAAAACAAACAACAAGGTTGTAACTGTAAACATTGCTGTAATTCAAGATTTACCTTCAGGCATTGCGAAAGGTCAAAGAACTGCACTGCCAGGCTCTCTCGTTCTGTATGGGTTGAAGCAGCTGCACATATTTAATATATATATTCATACATGGCTCACAACTGGCTAAGAGTTCCCCTAAAATGATTTTCCAAGTTCTTCCATTGCACAGGTGGGATGCGTCCGCGCCAAAAGCGGCGCCGACACGGCGACACGCCGACACTGTAAAGCATCTCTCGGGAGGAGAGATACATGTAGGTTTTCCAACACTGGACCGGCTCGTGACACTGTTCACCAAGACTTCTCATTGTGAATGGGTGAGCAGATCGCTCGACGACGCCGTCCAACGACTAACGACTAAATACATGTTTGTGCACCCCGTCAGGGTGCGATGGCAACATGTCTGTTAAACAAATCCTTGCAGCAAACCGCAAAACCCACACGGTTCAAACATGCAAAGCTGTAGAAGTATCTGGCCACAGCTGGAACTCTTAATACAATTCTTCACCAATAATGTGTATAATTAAATACGATAAATATACACACATGACTGGTGGAATCGTGGACAACTTTGTTGACGAATGCCAAATGAATTTTGGGTTGGTCGGGGTTTCAATGCTTTGGCTCACTCTCTGGACGTCTTAGCTTTTCCTTGCCAACAAGGTATCAGTGCAGGGTTGACCCTTGTCCATTCTGCAGGGTGTTGATTGTTTCAAATGTACTTGAGTGAGGAAGCCCCTTACTAATTTGCGATGATTATATATATATATATGTATTATACGAAAATATGTGTGTGTGTACATGCATTATTGTCGGGGGCTCATATAGCTTCAAGCACGAAGAATGAAGGTGCAAAACCAGAGACCGAGTTGCAGCACCTCATCTTCTTCGGCCTTTTGTTCTAGCAGTTGCTCGGCCAAAGTGTCCTGTGGCAGAAACATCTGCCACTACCGGAAGAACGGCGAAGCATGTCATACGTAGAATGCTGCAAAGCAAAGTGTGGCAGAAACATCTGCCACTACCGGAAGAACGGCGAAGCATGTCATACGTAGAATGCTGCAAAGCAAAGTGATTACCTTGGGCTGGTCATCTGAGAAACATGCGTGACCATGCCCTCAAGGTGTCTCTATATGTGTGACCAAACAATGTAGCCAAACTGGTCTCAATCGCAAATCCTCGTAAATTTCAGTCTGTTGTCTTTTCAAGGTCATTGGCCTCCAGCATTCGCGTGATGGCACGACGTAAAGGCCTTCCACACACAGCGAAGCGCGAAAATAGAATACATGCACACACGAATGTTTCGATGATCATATATTTATATGATCTTATATTTTCTACATGATTCTACATGCCCACTTGCATAATGCCTTTTCTGATGGTGCCACCAGGTCTCGAAATGGAGGAAACATGAGGTTTTACATGGTTTTACCAGTCTCACCCATGCAACATTTCAGAAGTAAATCACGTCATGATACATCATGTCATCGGTCACAATGAAACGTAGCACTGCAGCCCCACCTTGCACCGTATGCAGGATCAAAGCCTTCTTTTAGAACTTGGTCCTTTCGAATGTCGAATTCAAGGGTCTTGTTGTGTTTCATCTCGGGTCGTTGCGTTTCCTGGAAACTGACAAAAACCTGTTCAGGGGAGCCTCTGAAAAGCCTCCGGGGACAAAACTGACAGCTGAGTGGCCTTCTTGGCTGAGAAGAGAAACGTTCCTGAAAACCACGGACGTTTTCACGTTCAAGCACCATGCGTACGACCAGTCCTTGAAACTCTGCGCCAGCGTGATGTGGAGATCCTGGCCAAAGAAATTTGACGGCAAAACAGTGTTTGGCAGCCATTCGTGTCTCCCATCACCCGTCACAATAACCAGTCGGCCTAAGTGCTCTCTCAAAAATCTTTTTGAATACATATGAACACCCAGCAGCCCATCTCTTGCGAAGCATTGGCTTGGATTGGGTTAGCCATCTCCCCCGCGGAAAAAAAACTCTCTGGTGCCCCCCCCGTTGAGGTGCATGATTTCAGCCTACAAGTCAGCAGCAAACCAACGATCATCGAAGCGCCAACGCAACACCTCGTCGGAATGAGACGACGAAAGCCTCGTCAAGTCCTCGTGGGGTTTTCATGGTTTTAGGTAGCAAGGACGCCATTAGGTGGAGGCCATCGCTATTAGGAACAGGAAGCTACGATACGTTCCTTAAAAGAACATCAAACAGACCTAGTTGCAAGGACGCTATTAGTTTTAGTAGTACATTGCCTACAATATCTACAATAGCAAATTGACTACATACCACAACCGGTCTGGGTGTGGCATGAACACACGGCAACTAACTAGGTTGCCTACCGCTAATGTCGAGGTGCAGCCTATATGGACGTTGCAATCAATGTCAATGATATTGTTGCACGAAAAGTGGCTCTGTGGAACTGTCCCAAAA